ATAAAGAGGTCAGTAAAAAGAGAAAGAGAGAAATCAAGCTGGGCAATGTTAGAAATCAAGCTGAGCATGGTGGCGCACACCTGTAACCCCAGCTACTCAAGTGGCTGAAGCAGGAGGATTGCTTGAGCCCAGTAGGTCAGGGTTGCAGTGAGCTATCGTTGCCCTACTGCACTCCAGCCTGGGTGACAGAGCAAGAGACCTATCTCTAAAAAAATTAAAAACAAGGAAATCATGTTTGGTTTTCAATTTAATACTTGAGAATGAAGTATTTAAGTAAATTAGTGTGTTTTAATCAGGGGGTTAACAAAAAAGTATTGTTTATTCAATATAAAAGAGCAAAGGTTACATGTTTAAATAGTCTCTCTCTCTCTTTTTTTTTTTTAGATGGAGTCTCGTTCTGTTGCCCAGGCTGGAGTGCAGTGGCCCGATCTCTGCTCACTGCAACCTCTGCCTCCCAGGTTCAAGTGATTCTTCTGCCTCAGCCTCCTGAGTATCTGGGACCACAGGTGCTCATCATCACGCCTGGCTAATTTTTTGTATTTTTACTAGAGATGGGGTTTCACCATGTTGGCCAGGCTGCTCTTGAACTCCAGACTTCGTGATCTGCCCACCTCAGCCTCCCGAAGTGCTGGGATTACCTGTGTGAGCCACTGCATTCGACCATAGTCTCATTTGTTTAATGGCTTCATCTTGTAGTAGACAGACTTATAAAATGGTTCCCAGTGACCCCCCAGCAGCTCTCCTGCCTCACTGTCTGTCTCTCTTCCCTGCATGTTAGAGAGGCCTGGCCAAGAACTGAGGGTGGCCTCCGCCAGCAGTCAGCCAGGAACTGAGGCCCTCGGTCCAGCAGCCTCTAAGAAACTGAATCCTGCCACCAACTGCTTAGAAGCAGATCAGTGCCCAGTTGCACCTTGAATGCAGTTGGGTCAGACTCCCAGTGAAGCTATGCCCAGATTCCTGACACAGAGAAACTCGGAGATAATAACACGTCTGGTTTGAAGCCACTAAATGTTGGGGTAATCTGTTACAAAGCGATAGATAATGAATTCAACCCTAGTAATGAAAGTCCCATTATATAAAAAGCAGGCAGATTTTTCTTTTTTTTTTTTTTGAGATGGAGTTTTGTTCTTGTTGCCCAGGCTAGAGTGCAATGATGCAATCTCGGCTCACTGCAACCTCCATCTCCCAGTTTCAAGCGATTCGTCTGCCTCAGCCTCCCAAGTAGCTGGGATTACAGGTATGCACCACCACGCCTAGCTAATTTTGTATTTTTAGTAGAGATGGAGTTTCTCCATGTTGATCACACTGGTCCTGAACTCCTGACCCCAGGTAATCTGCCTGCCTCGGCCTCCCAAAGTGCTGGGATTATAGGTGTGAGCCACAACGCCCAAACAAGCAGACAGAATTTTTAAATAAATCAACAGAATAAACAAATAGAAGTGAAGTCAAGGAACTGCTCTGTGTACTCAAAGTACTTAAGTATGAAAATTCCTTACTTAAAAAAAATTGAAATATATTCAACATTATTCCTATCATTTATTTTCATATGGTGACCTCTGAAAAAGAGCTGGAATGTGTTAGATGCATTTGTGCTGAGCCCAGGGATGTTTGCAGTCCCATGAGCTGCAAAGAGATGATTCTGAGAATATCTTTTCTATGGAACAATATTCAGTTCAGAGGATTCAACTTAGAAAAGTTTTCTTAGAAAAATACTTAAAGGACTTTACATCAATACCTGTAACATGTACGAGGATAGGGTGGGTGACTATGAGTGTGTGTGTGTGTGTTGTGTGTACCTAGCTTAAGGAATGTTTTTCATACAGCTTTGTTAGGAATACAGACCCTGTAGGGGTAAAACTCCACCAAGGGCTACTGTAATACGAAAATTAAAACTCAAACTCACAATTCAGAAAATTTATGGGACTACTCACATTTTCAAATTAAAACAGGTAACATAAAGCATTTCATGTACACACACATGTGCATACATACACACTGCAGATTTCAGTCCTATATCATGCATAGTTGGACAAGGTAGAGAGTTACAGAAAGATAGGAGATAGAAGGATAGACAAAAAGAACATGGGCCGGGCACAGTGGCTTACACCTGTAATCCCAGCACTTTGGGAGGCTGAGGCAGGGGATAGAGACCAGCGTGGCCAAGATGGTGAAACTAAAAATACAAAAATACTAAAAATACAAAAGTTAGCTGGGTAAGGCGGCACATGCCTGTAATCCCAACTACTTGGGAGGCTGAGGCAAGAGAATCGCTTGAATCTGGGAGGTGGAGGTTGCAGTGAGCCGAGATTATGCCACTGCACTCCAGCCTGGGCAACAGAGCAAGACTCTGTCTCAAAAAAAAAAAAGAGCATTGGGAGTTGATGAGGAAAACCTTTTGTTTCAGAGTGGTTCATTAAGGCCTTAGAACTTTTTTTTTTAGCTATAGGGTGCTTTTATTTGCCAATCTTATTGAGGGGCTGGGGTTGTTTGCATCATGTATCCACTGTCTGTAGTGCACTGGGTGCCATCCTTGCAGCTGGGCTAAGCAGTGAAAAACAGAGTTGCTGCCCCTGAAGCATTCTTAAAGCATATGCACATGCAGCATGCAAAGCCAGACAGTAAATGGTTATGAGGCATGGTGACGACTGCTAAGAGAGGGAGGTGGACTACTGTGTTAGTCTGTTTGCCTTGCTAAAAAGAAATACCTGAGACTGGGTATTTTATAAAGAAAAGAGTTTATTTTGGCTCATAGGTCTGCACGCTGTCCAGGAAGTGCAACGCCAGCATCTACTTCTGGTGAGACCTCTGGAAGCCTACGATCATGGCAGAAGGCGAAGAGGGAGAGGGCAAGAGAGAGAAGGGAAGAGCTCTTTAAACAACCAGCTCTCTTGTGAACTAATAGAATGAGAACTCATTACTGCAAGGTGGACACTAAGACATTCATGAGGGATCCACCCCCGTGACCCTAACACCTCCCACCAGGCCCTACCTCCAACACTGGAGATTACATTTCAACATGAGATTTGGAAGGGACAAATGTCCAACCGTATTAGCTACCAAAGCAGAGAGAACCAGGTCTGACCCAGGCTAGGCTGGGGAACAGGAAATTCCCTGAAAGAGCAGATGCCTTGATACAGGTTAGGAGGGCTCATGATTGTAGTCCTGGCAAGAACAGGCACAGGCCTGAACAGACACAGGCAATGCCACAGAATAAAATGGAATGGCTCCTTGAGAGGGACCCCAAGATTCCCGCAATTTGCAGTTCATGACGTTGCAGAGATGGAGGATACCATTAACTGAAATAAGGAAGAGAATAGATAAGGAAAGAGAATAGATCATGGGCAAAAGGATTTTTCCCCAAATAATGTAATCTGATCATATAAATATCTGATGTAACATATTTTGAAGATTCTCTATAGCTTTCAGGATAACATTCAAACTGTATTGTTTAGCACATATGGCTCTCTACATTCATTCTTCTTTAGGTTTATTTCTTGTCACTCACCCAAGTTCATCCTTAGATCCAGCAACATAAAACTACCAGTAATTGTCAGCCACGCTCCCTGGCTGTTGAATGGTTTTGCATGTGTGATTCTCTCTGCCTAGAAAGCTCTCTGTTATGAACATCTGTTGCCTTAGTGTTCTCAGCATCTGCCCTTTGGTTACCACCTGCCTCATTCCATGTGGTCCTAATGGAACTGCCAACCACAGTATCCTGTCCCCTGGCCCCAGTGCTGGGTAGCACAGATCTAGGCCCCTTCAATCACATCCCCTGACCACAGTGATTGACCCGGGATTGGCCCATGTCTCAAGCGGGGCCCATCAGAGCCCTTCCCTGGGATTTTATATATGGGTGCTGGTACAGTTCTCTCTTTTTCTGGAGCCAAAAACACTGGGTGGCTATAAGCCTGGAACTGCCTGTGGCCAGGGCCCTCCTGCCCCTGCAACCTGGAGGAAGCTAATCTGGGAGAGAATGAGTCCAAAACAGAGGAAGCAGCAGCAGAGGTGAGTGTGAGGCACAGCAAACCTGCGTGCCTGTGTGTCTGAGGCCAGCTTCAGACAGTCATCCCAGTTATACAGTTCCCTGGTTTGCTTCATCTGGCCTGAGTAAGGTTTCTGTCATTTGAAATTGAAACCATTCCATAGCCAAAATCCCAGTTTCTTCTTCTCACTTTATACACATTCTTCGAACCTCAGTTCCAGTCCTGTTCCTCCAGAAAGCCTTCTCTGAAGGACCAGTCGCTCTTCCCCTCCCAGTACAGTGCTCTTCCCTGGGTCCCCAAAACATCTGTGCATATATCATTTGTATCCCTTAGCAACCAGACTGGTAATAGGCAGTTCACATCTCTGTTTCCCATCAAGTCATAAGTTTCTTGAACCTCATTGTATTGACTTCATAGTTAAATGTCTGGTGCAGAGGAGGTGTTCAGTCAACTTTTGATGAAAATCAAGTTTGTAGTTTTCTGTGGAACACTCAGGCATCTGTGATGTATTTGGGTATTTAAATCACAGAGGGGAGCTGGGTGCAGTGTCTCAGGCCTGTAATTCCACCACTTTGGGAGGCCGAGGTGGTCAGATCACCTGAGGTCAGGAGTTCCGAGACCAGCATGGCCAACATAGTGAAACCCCATCTCTACTAAAAATACAAAATTAGATGGGTGTGGTGGCACGCACTAGTAGTTCCAGCTCCTTGAAAGGCTGAGGCAGGAGAATCACTTGAACCCGGGAGGTAAAGTTGCAGGGTGCTGAGATTGCTCCACTGCACTCCAGCCTGGGCAACAGAGTGAGACTCCATCTCAAAATAAAGAAATAAAATAAATCACAGTGAGGCTCCACTTCTGTGGACCAGAAGGAGGAAACCAGGGGGCAGTGGGCAGTAGGAGGAGAGGAAGGGGCTACAGCCCTCAGTCACTTTCCAGTGGCTTATCCAGGAAGGGAAAGACAGAGGTAGAGTAGCAAACCGGAAGGACAAAAGGGATTTTAAGATTCCAAAGATGACTGTGCTCACTTTGGCAGCACATATACTAAAATTGGCACAATACAGAAAAGATTAGCATGGCCTCTGTACAAGGATGATAGCAAATTTGTGACCGTTGCATGTTAAAAAAAAATAAAAAAGAAGATTCCAAAGACCTGGAGTATTTATATGTTGATGGAATGGAGACAGTGGAGAGAAAAGAGGAGGAGGGAGTAGAAGCAAGACCACGGGACAAGGGGAGGGGATGGGCCCAGAGCACAGTTGGAAAGAAAAGGAATAAGAGTGACCAACAGACACTCCAGTTTAGACAGTGCCTTAGATGGTGAGAGTAACCTCACTCATCCTCCCCCAGGCCACAGGGTAGGGAAAAACAGAGCCTCCATATTTTCTCCTAAGGCTTCCAAAGCATTCGGCTTTCTTTTTCTCAATTACCCTTTACTTCCCAGCAAGTGGAGGCCCATTACCGAGCTTAAGGGGCCCTTCTGGGTCACTGGCCTCCACTAGGTCCAAGTCTCCCCTGGTGCTGGCCAGAGTTCAAGGTAATCCTTTGGATTGTTCCCCTTGTTGTTGTCACCGGACCTGGGAGATTGGGTTACCCCAGGATAATGTTCACTGACTTTGTCCAGGGCCCTGTGATCCTATAAAGGGAGGAGCATGGATGTAAATTATTAAGGAAATCTCAGGTTCTCAACAATTCCCTAGAGATTCAAATATGCCAAGAAACCTGAGAGAGCTCAGCCCTTGGGGTGCTGCAGCTGGGATTGAGCTGGCATCACTTCCCAGGCCTGCAGGCCTCCGAGCCTGCCAATGATTAAACTCCAAAGTCTGAATGGCTCACTAGGGCTCCATCTGAAAAGCCCTCTGCAGCCAGGATTTCTCAAAAGATCTATAGGGTTGACACAGCAGCAGTCCATTAATAGAAACCCAACTCAGAAACCACGCTTATTCGGGGCCCTCAGCAAGTGTGAAGACAAGGAAAAAGCCGTGCTTTTTTCTGGCCAGGTGTGGTGACTCACACCTGTAATCCCAGCACTTTGGGAGGCCGAAGCCAGAGGATCACTTGAGGTCAGGAGTTCAAGACCAGCCTGGCCAACATGGTGAAACCACATTGGTATTCTCTACCAAAAGAATACAGAAATTAGCCAGGCATGGTGGTGTACACTTATAGTCCCAGCTACTCAGAAGGCTGAAGCATAAGAATCACTTGAACCCAGGAGGTGGAGGTTGCAGTGAGCTGAGGTCATACCACTGCATTCCAGCTTAGGTGATAGAGTAAGACTGTCTCAAAAACAAACAAACAAACAAGAAAACAATACTTTTTTTTTCCCCACTGGAGGATCCCAGGAGAGGCATTTTCTTCCCTAAAGAGATGCTCAGCTTAACTGTGGGAGGCATGACCCTTGTTCTTAGGAAGCTCCTGGCCAGAGAGAGGACATGGACACACACACACATGCACGCACGCGTACACACACACACACACCACATCAAACCATATCATGATTGCAATTGATAGCAGCTAGAACAACTTACAGGCAAAGTATAAGCACTGAACAGGAGGCCAGAACTAACCCACTGCAATAGGGGCATGGCCCAAAGGTAAAGGTCAGCATGGAAGCTGCCCACCTCCCTGAGGCCTCCCTACCATCTAGTGCAGAGCTGAGCCAGTTCAAGATCTGAACTAGCTTGCTGCTTTCTGGGCATCCTCCAAGTATGCTGCGGTCCTTATAGGAGGCAATAGCTTCAAGGATCTCGCCTGCCTATTGCCTGAAGTCCTACTTTCTGGAAAAGAGAAGGAATAGTTCAACATTCAGCTTCTACAACTTTCTGTGACTTTGGTGATCAAGAGAGAGCTCAGATGTTTGCTTTGAGTTCTCACGTATCTGCCTCTTAACACCTGTTATTACACTCAGCTTTGTTTCTTGGGCTGCAAAGATTGCTGAGCATGTGTGTTCATGGGCACTTTACAAGTATTTCTGTGTGGCTGGCCATCCAAGTTTATGTTTGCAGATATCCATGTGGCTGTAATCATGTGTGACAATTTCTGTTTTTGCTTAAGCTGTTCCCGTGCATACATGAGTATGTATAGCTGTGTGCACTCTGGACCCTCTTTTGCAAACACACTGAGCATTCATGTATCAGGTTTTAATGTCGAGCAACATGATGACATCAACACAGCAAGCTGGACATTGAACGGAGCCTCACCACTTCCCTAGCTTTACCCAGAGATGACACATGCACATGTACTCTAATGTCCCAAACTTTCTTCCTCCCTTGTCAGTCTGCCATGAGTTCCTGAAAATTATTGTATGCTACACGCAAGACTTTCCCAGAAGGGCTGAGAACGCCTGCTCTTTTGTGTTTCCACTGGATGTCAGCTCACTTGTTTATTCATTCAATCCCAAAACTACCACTGAGCTTCTTCCAGTCCAGGTGCTGTGTTAAGAAACAGAAATACAGAAATGAGTAAGACATGGCTCCTGTTTTTATGAAATGCATACTCTAGTCAGGAAGAAAAGCCTGGACACAGCTAATCAAGTTCAAAGACAGACTCTGATAAACTATGGAAGGACAGAGAAAATTCTAATGCCCCCTGAGGAAACTAGGAAGACTTCATTGAGTTCACATTCAGCCAGGCCTTGAAAGTTGAATCGAATTTTGACAAGTAAATGATCAGAACAGCATTCCAAGCAGGGGAATGGTGTGATCAAAGATCTAGAAATGACAAAGCCATGGAGCTTCTCCTTGCAGACACTCCCTTACAACTCCAAGGGACACCCTGAGGTGTGCAATGCTGTGGTCCTGCCCTTCAGCTGTGTTCTTATCAGTCTGTGCACACAGCCTTACTCAGGTTGCATTCAACCAATTCCAAATGGGAGGAAATGAACTAAAGTGGGGTTTGAAGAACAAGGGGTCGGGGAGCAGCTGCACCTGCAGTGGGAGAGGCTGAGGGCAGTCCTGTGGAAATCTAGCACAATCTATAAGGGCAGTTACAATCACAATGGGTTGTTGAAAATGATTTCACTTATTTCATTTAATCATTTACCCAACAAACATTCATGTGATGCAATCTCTGGAGCTCTCAGGGAAAAGGGAAGAAAAGAATAATATCATGTTTGTTTATGATGACTTGGCTTAGTGTTCCTTCAAGTATGTTCCTCAGAATAATAAATAATCCAGAGAAGATATGAGAGCAAGTAAGAGTTAATGGGATCAAATACATTTAGGAAACATGTCAACAAAGCAAACAGGTTTCGGTACTACCATTGAGATGTGGCCAACAATATTTCCCAAAGTTATTTGAACTGTAAATCGCATATGTTTCATAGGACTGGGGAGAGGAGTTCTAAGGAGTTCTCTGTGATAATGGAAAACAAAGGAAAGAGGATTCGCAAACTCCTGGGCTGATAATGTGGCAAGAAGTGTCATCTTTCTCCATCCAGGAAGACTTCCTGGAGGATGTCTTACCTCAGAAGCCACTTGGTGGAAGAAAGAGCAAACTGAAGGGACCGAAGCTTAATTTGTGTCACACAAAAGCAAAGATGAACTTGGGAGGGAATAACTACTCCATAAAATGCTATGGTGTTAAATATCTGTTGGAATGGGCTTGTTTTGCATGTTTTAAGGGAAGGATGAGGAAGAAGGAAGAGGCTTAGATCTTGCTTGCTCTCAAGTGGCACCTAGTCTGATTAAAAAAAAAAAAAAAAAAGCATAGCCCCTGCCTTCTGAGAGCTCCTAGCCCAATGGTGGGATATAGGCAACAAAAGACAGTGATACCTGAGAGATGGGAAACAAACTAGGCAAGACTTACAATGCTCTATTTGCTGCCTTGGCAGAGAGGGAAGAGACACCAAAGTGGAGCCCAGCAGATTTTGTAAGTGAAGAGGAGCGGGGAGTCTGGGGAGGTTGAGGCAGCTGCAGCAAACAGAACAGAGTACCCAAGAGGAGAGGGTCACACAGAAGAAAACCCCAGAAATCTGCAAAGCCTTCTCTTCAAGTATTGAGCACAGCACTGACCAGCATGTGGGCAAGGAAAGAACCATCCAAAAGGATAAGAGAGCCAGAGCTCACATAGGCCTGGGATTACTTTCCAGCCCCACCAGTCACCTAGAAAAACTTATCGTCAATGGAGCATTGGGAAGAGTACTCAGGAGGATTTTGCTTCAGCAGTGGAAAAGAATTAGCTCCAGGCTAAATACTGCTTTCATCCCACTTAACAAATCTTAAAGACCTGAAATATAAAACTGCTTCAAGTTATTTAATTTAACTGCATCCCAGAACAAAATTCCAATTCCAGAATATTTATAGGAATACAAAAAATATCCAGGCTGGGTGCGGTGGCTCAGGCCAGTAGTCCCAACACAAGGCCAAGGCAGGCGGATCACTTGAGGTCAGGAGTTCGAGATCAGCCTGGCCAACATGGTGAAACCCCATCTCTACTAAAAATACAAAAATTAGCCAGGCATGGTGGGGTGTGCCTGTGGTCCCAGCTATTTGGGAGGCTGAAGCATGAGAATTGCTTGAACCCAGGAGGTGGAGTTTACAATGAGCCAAGATTGTGCCACTGTACTCCAGCCTGGGTGACAGAGTGAGATTCTGTTTAAAAAAAAAAAAAAAAATCCAGCATCCAAAAAGTAAAATTCACAATGTCTAGTATTCAATGAAAAACTTACCAGGCGTGCAAAGAAACTGAAAAATGCAACCCATAATGAGGAGGAAAATTAATCCTTGAAATAGACCCAGAACCTTCAAGCAAACAGACCAGCTGTCCTGATTTGCTCAGGACTATCCCAATTTTAGCAGTGAAAGTTGTGCATCCCTGGAAACCCTTCAGTCCCAGGAAAACCAAGCTCACTGGTCACCCTACCTACAACTAATAACAGACTTAATGGTGAAAGACTGAATGCCTCCCTCCTAAGATCAAGAGCCCATCAGAATGTCTGCTCTCACCACTTGTGTTAACATTTTGCTAGAGATTTCAACCAATGCATAAGTAAAGAAAGAAAAGAAACACAGATTAGAAAGAAAGAAGTTAAAATGTCTTTATTCTCAGATGATGTAATCGTCAAGGAAGAAAATCTGATTGACTCTGCAAAGGAGCCACTGGAGCTAATAAGTGAGTTTAGCAAA